GGTCTCTCACTATGTTTCCCACGCTGGTCTCAAACTCCTGGACTTAAGCGAGCAACCCTCCTACCTCAGCCTCCTAAAGAACTGGGATTACAGGCATGAGCCACCAGGCCTGGCTGTGGTAGTTCTTATTGAAAGGCTAAAACCTAAAAGCTGGGCGTGGTGGCTCACACCTGTAATCCTGGCACTTTGGGATGGGAAGGTGAGAGGATTACCTAAGCCCAGGGGTTCAAGACCAGCCTGGGTAACTTGGCGAGACCTCATGTCTAAATCAAAAAATTAGCCAGGCATGGTGGCACACATCTGTAGTTCTAGCTACTTGGAAGGCTGAGATGGAAGGATCATCTGAGTCCAGCAGGTCTAGGCTGCGGTGGCCACGAGCATGCCACTGCACTCTAGCCTGGGTAGCAAAGTGAGACTTTGACTCAAAAAAAAAAAAAGGCTAAGATGTTCCAAACCATTCTATTCATGATGTCATTGATGCTTACAAATACATAATTTCTACTGACTTTAGTCCTTTCATCGCTGGCTATAAAGTACATCAGAAGATTAAGCTCCTAAATGCTAGTGTAACTTTCATGGTTTCTAAAAAGCCATACAGAACTTCATAAAAACCTTGACACACACACAAAAAAAACATAAGAACACAAGAATTAAAGGCCATTTTTGTTAATAAATGGAAAGGTCATATAGTCATATCCCATAATTTAGCCAAAGATAACTGAACCTATAGAATGTCAGAGTTTTACTATGTTTCATTTTACTATGTCAGCTTTTTAAAAAATAGTTTTATTACTGATCAGATTAGTTTCTCTTCTAAAACTGAAAAAACAAAAGAAATCTAAATAATCGATGCGATATTCAGGTCCATGGCAAATTTTTAGCAGTCAATTTGGGCAATTTGTTAATCTCCAGAAATATTTTTTCACCATGTAACCATAACAGTTTTGAGAGCAAATTTTAAAGATCATGACTCCTGGTCACTGAAGAGCAGATAAGATGGGTTTTTAAAACAGGAAAAGATGAAAAACTGATTGCGTGGCATTCTGAAGATTAGTTATATCAGCCTCAAAACATCCTCTCATTACTTTAATCTTACACTCTATAAAATACTTTTGGATCCTTTGTCAGAAAGATAAAAACAAATTAAACTGAAGGGCTGACATGAACTAAATATCTTATTCTGGAAGCACTATTACTGACAGCTTCAGAAAAAATAAAATGGATCCTTCAAAACGTTTTTCCAAAGGGCATACAGTACTACCAAGAGTAAAAAAATTAAAATGGCATGATAGTCTACAAATACAGGAGTGTGGTTCATCTCACAGCTCCCATAATTTTTTTTCTTAACATTCTTATAGTTCTTATTACTTTCCATAAGTATGTAGTTATTTATTTGTTAGATTTCAAGCTCTCCTAGGACACTTCTTCATATGTACATTCCCCAAACTGGTAAACAGCACCATGCATGTAATCAGTGTTCAAAAACTTTTCTTAAAATGAAAGAACAGCACGTTCTTTGAATATCTGCAAAACTCCTTTATTATTCATAATTCCCCAAAAATGAAACAAACCTTATCTCTAGCAAATCTGAAATTACTTTTTCCTACACACACCTTTCTCTTTACTTCCTCTGCACCTCTTTCTCCTGAATGCCCAAATGTTATCCATCCTTCAAGGCCTGTGAAAAATTCCCTCTTCTCCAGGAAGTTTTCCATGATCTCCCCAGCTAGAAGTAACCTGTAACACTTTTGAAGTTCCATAGCACTTTACCTAAACCTTCCTGTTTCTTAATTATACTACACACACATTCCTTAAGTGACTACTTCCCTTTTAAGGGAGAGTAGGTATAAAACTATAATAAAATATTTACTAGGCAATTATCTTAGAGTCAAGGGCTCCTTTGGGATAAGGCTTTTAATTCAGGAGGCCCTACACCCTATAAACGAGGATCTTTCCCTGCATTTCAGCCACGCTCTGGGAGGACAAATAGCTCCCAGGCAGCTCTGTGACCTGCTGTGTGGATTGCAAGCATTATTACCACAGAAGGTGCTGCTAGGCTACAGCTCTTGCCCTATAAGCTTGAGTGAAGCTAATACCCAGTGTGGCCAATGATAGTACTTTGATAGTTCTCTGAGTCTGAAGGTAAAGTGGAATCTAAAGTGACCCTATAGTGAGTGTTTCAAGTATCTTATTGTGGATATTAAATGAATCTGTACATATAAAGTGCTTAAACAATGTCTGGCAAATAATAACTCAGTGTGTTAGCTATTGTTACCTTTGGTCAGAAGCTGGCAAAGTAAGAACAGGAATTTAGGAACGGCTGATTCCAGATCCTGTCCCTAACCATTACACTTTAGTTCTTTTCTACTAGAATCGACTCCATATCTTTCCCTCTAAACCTGCTCTCAAAAATAAGTTTTTATCTCAGACATGTACTTTAGTGAAAAAATTGTGCTTATTAATTGCTCATGGATATTCACATTTAAAAGCCTGATTGAAGCATCTGTTCCCAAACCTATCAATGCCAGGTATAACTGTTGTTATAATTATTTAAGGAAATGATAAACTATGAGTGCAAAGCATTTTTCCCTTCTAGGAAAACTAAGTAGAACATCCTGAAATAACTTGAAAAAAGGCAAGTCACTAAAAATAAGTTTCCCTGCTGAAGGGAGGGTGAGTAAGAAAAGTATGAAAGACTGGGGAGGAAAGAGACTGAGATCATGATCTCAGACTGCTTCATTATCCTTAAGTTCCTGCCCCACTTTGTGGTGGGGAACTGCCAGGGGAGGGAGGGGCACAGCTCGTCAACAAGGGTACCTGCATAATGAACATTTGTGTGCCTAACCCTGAATTGTACCCCACGTCTTCAAAATTAAAAATTAAAAAAAATAACCAAATGTGAACTTGAAATAAATAAAGACACCAAACTGCAACTCAGAGTAAGCTCATATGGAACTCTAATCAATAGACATCTCTCTGTCTCTCTCTCTTTCTTTCTGTGTGTCCTATATTAAAGGACTAGCAAATAAATGTACCAAAATCATTTAAGTTAAAACAAAATGTTTTCCATGATGGAATGTGTTGCCAAATTTTTTTAAAGATAGAAAAAGTTTCTCTCCCTCATTTTTTCTCTCTCTCCCCCTTCTCCCTGCTCACTCCAAGCCAATATTTATATAATTTTTATGAGTTCAATAAGAGGGCTTTGCCTGTAAGTGTATTAAAGAGTTGCAAGGGAGTGTGAGAAATGACTTAAAGTGGGAAAACCAACGTAAAGAGGGTAACCAATACGATAAGAAATAGGGTCAGGAAAGATATAGAGAAGGGGACATTTGGGACAAATAGACAGTATGGGGTAAAGGCACTGGAGACACAAGAACTATGTGAACAAAGGTACAGAGGCCCAAGTTGCATGGCTTGTTGAGAAAATATCAATAGAAAAAAGGGTTCAAAACAGACAATAGCAGCAATAGAGACCAAAGAAATAGGTAGGGCCTTACAAGGCAGAACACACAAGAATAGACTTTAAGTGAAAGAAAATTGAGTAAACAGGTTTTTGTTTTGTTTTATTTTTTGGTTTTTTGTAGAGATGGGGGTTCTTCCCATGTTGCCCCAGCTGGTCTTGAGCTCCTGGCCTCAAGTCATCATCTGGTCTTGGCCTCCCAAAGCACTGGAATTACTGGCATGAGCCACTGTACCTGGCCCTTAAACAGGGTTTTGGGCAGCAAAACATAATAATTGGACACACATCTTCAAAAGATAATTGTAGTAGCAGCAGTAAGGGTGATTTGGGAGTATGGAGAATGATAAACCTGAAGAAAATGACTTCAATAGACCAAGTAAGAAATAAGAACCCAGGACTAAGCAAGAAGGAACAAAAATGAAAACATCATGAGAATCAACAAGACCTGGCCACAAAGTCCTTAGCTATGGAAGTGTATGGTGGAGGAGGAATATAAAGAAACTGGTTTTTTGCATGGTGGTTCTGTGGATCACAAGCAAATTATTCTCCCAGTTGATTCTAAAGAAAGAAAAGCAAGATTTGCAGAATTCATCTCAGGTTGTTTTGAACTGAGAGGCTCAAACAGAAAGTAGAAACACCCAGTCGTTTGTTGGATAGGCATAGCTGGATTGAAGGAGAAACGTCCAGTCCGCATCCGATGCTGACGGCCTGATCCTATTTGAAGTCATGAGAGTGGATGTTATTACTGTTATGAGGAAGCCCAGGGAAGGGGAGCAAAGAGAAGGGTCAGGGGAGAACCCCGAGTAACACCCACTTTTCAGAAAGAGTTAGGCAGAAGGACAAACGGATACTTAGAAAGATCTGCAAGACAGAAGTGCCTTCAAAACAGTGGCCCCGCAGGAGCTGAGAGGCGAGAGGGATTCGAGAACAAGCAGGACAGGGAGCTTTGGTAAGACTGAAAACAGGCCACTGGCTTCGGCAATCTTGAGGCTAATTAAAATCCTTTGGCAGAGCAGGGGTTTTGTGGGTGGGAGAGGAGGAAAATAAAGGGCAGAGTGATGGGCACCCAACAGGGTACAAGTGGCTCCATCAGACAGTGGGCGGGCCCAACACAAATGCTCTATAGCGCCCTGCAAGGCCATCGCCGGAGTACAAACCCCATCACATGTCAACCCACTTCCACTCCGGTTGCAGAGCTTTAGAAGCTGTAATGTGCATTGCCCCCTCGGCTTTGAACGCGCCGCTCCAGCCACTCCGCAAAAGTCTACTAAGCTCTCAAAAACCTGCACAAACGGCCTCGCCTCCAAAGCCCCCTCCCTGAGGCGCCCAGGAAAAACCAAAGCACTTCATGTCGTCTGCCTGAAGTTACGTTCATACCTTACACGGTTTCGTAATTATCTGTTGTGCATCTGGCTCAGTTCAAAGAGGGAGCCAGATCCCGAAAGTCCAGTAAAGCTGAGGCCCAGACGCTCCCTCACAGACCACTTGGGAGGAGGAGGGGAAAACTACAACTCCCATGAGGCAGCGGGTGCGCGGGGCCACAAGTCCCAACATCCTCTGCGAGTCACAAGCCATTTCCCGGTGGCAGGCGCAGCGTGGAAGCGGATAAATGCTCGCGGAAACGGTGGAGGAGAGGTGTTCTTTCGCAATGGCAGCGTCTGAGGAGGAGTCTGAGGCCCCGACCAAGCAACTGGATGTCGCGCGCGGCTTGGAAAACCTGCCCGTGAGCGTGTGGCCCCCAGGGGCTGGGCCGGGGCCCTTCCAGGTAGGGGGTGAGGCCAGGCGGCGCGACGGGCGGGCGCGCGGCTCCCCCACGTGGTCGTACTTCTCAGGCCCGCCCTCGTGCTACGTGCGGTTTCTTGGCCTTCCGACTTTTTTCTTTCCTATGGCACAGCTTTTGGCGCGGGAATGGATGTTAGGGCTCGTTACTCGGTCTTTAGTTAGCCTTCCGCATGACCTGTAGTAAGGATACTACCCTCTTCTGTACGTAGACTGGCAGCTCCCTGAAGTGCAGAACCAGGGCTTCGTGAGAACCTTGACTTTTTAATCCAGGTTCTATCCTCAAAACTCAGTGTGGGATCCAGGGCGTATCATCTACCTCTCTGGTTTCTGTGTCTCTCTAATATGGAAGGTAAGCCATGGGGCCTGTTAACGGAGCTCAGCCCCGTGTCTTGGTTAAAAACTTAGCACCTAAAGTCAGACTTAGCTGAAGTTTCTCTCCTGCTGTGAGCTCTTAGACAAATATAAATTCGTTTTGGCTAAGCCTTAGTGTCCTCGGGAGTACAAGTTAAATAATAGTACCTCTCTTCCAGATTGCTTTGAGAATTGCAAGTGAAATACAATTCCTGGCTCACTGGAAGAACTCAATAAATGTTCACTACTATTACTGTCTCAAAGCCCTTGCTGTCCTCTCTCACTCCTCTTATCTTGGCCTGAAAACTGCCTAAAGAAAAGGGTATGACAAAATATTTTTAAAACCCAGGACGTTGAAGTGGAAAGAGCTCTGGAGTTGGAGGTTGGAAAGCTGGCTCAGGGTTTAGCCATTTTATCTACTTAACAGCCTGAGATTCTTCATCTGCAAAGTCAAAATAATAATTTTTAAATGTATAGCCCTTTTCACACCCATTATCAATATTGATCTTACCTGCCCTTTCTTCTTCTTGGAGGTTGTTGTGAGGATCAAATAAGGCAATAGCAGCTTTCAAAGAATAGAGTTGGATATTAATGTCAGAAGTGATTATTATTCCTCAAACTACCTTTGGCAATTTATGACTAATAATATGGTTGGCTGGCCCAGTATTAAAAAGTGGTCCCTGAAAGCTTATTCAGGAGCTACCATTGCTGAAGTTCTGGTCAAAAACACTGGTAAATCTTTTATTTATTCAACAAATAACTGAATGTGCCAGCTACCACGTTAGAACCAACCTAGAAGATAAAATAGCGAAGACACAGTTCCTACTCTCGAGCTTACAAGAGTATATAGAAAACACTTACATTTTTTTTAAACCTAGTGGTATCTAACAGGAACAAAAAAAAAATACCACTGTCCTAATCTATTCTTAATTAAACTAACAAATATTTATTGAGAACTAAATGCATGCAAGGTGATGGTTTGGGCCGCAGAGAATCCAGTGAACAGAAAAACATAATCTCTGCCCTTAACTGAGTCATCTTGTGATTCGCTTTAACTGAGTATTTGTACTGTTAAGCAACACAGTTATTTTGTGTGTGAATTCTATAAACTTATTTCCAATCTTGAGTCATATTTTTCTTTGCCATGTCCAAGAACAATCTGTAAAACTATTTGCCTAATATATTTCTTTAAATTAACTCACTTTAAGTATGAACTTATTTAAAAATAAATTAAATAAGTATCTCCTTTAGAATCATCTTAAATCATTAATGTCCATAAAATCATGGGGTTTGGTGTGTTGATTATATTTTACAAAATTTACATTAAAATAATGTGTCTATTTTTTAAAGGGGGCAAAGGGGTGACAAGAGGAAGCCTTGTGATTGATTAATCCTTAGACCTACAGTTGATGGGCATAAATAAAAATCAAGTTAAAACTCAAACCCATAATATTCTAACTAACTGTGTATATGCATGGTTCTGGATAGAATTAGAGTTACAGAAAGAAGACAGGATCCCTTTCTAAAGGAGCTTATAGTCTCTTACCAAGAAGATAAAACATGCTTGGAACCTTTAAATGACAAGCCTAAAAGAGCCGTCAACTAATTTTCTTCTATATATTCACGGAATGAAAAACCAGTGTTATAAAAAGGTCAAAACAGCTTGTTTGTTCCAAACCCTGCCTTCACAGGCATATGCACACATAAGAATTAAGGCATGAAAAACTTAAGATAAAAATAACTGTGTCTGGTTTGCTTTTGGCTACTGAATGAACATGCAAAAAGAACATTCAGATGTTCAAATTGGAAGCAAGCATGTCATGTTATCAGTATTGAATGCCAAGTAGAAAATAAGCTAATTGATTTTCTTGAGCTAAAAGTTTAATCTGACCATTTTTCAGCTCTCTGAAACCACTACAAACATTATTTTTAGGATCTCATTGGGCTTTGATGAGAATTATCTGACTCACAGTCTTCTAATAGCTGCTTGGAGCAAAAACAAATTTATGAGACTAGAGGCCAAGTACAAAGATTCTTGTCACTGGGGTTTCAACACAACCAAAAAAGGAATGAAGGTTTTCACAACACTTTCTTAAAATTCCGAACTGAGTTCCAGGTTTTAAGCCTAGAATATCATACAGTACCATGCTTCAGTTCTGAGGCTTGAATACAGAATGTAACTCAGAAAAGTCAAACTTCCAGTTAAAGGTTATCAAGAACTGCATGCAAAAAAATACTTCCTGTGTGCCTGCTGTGTGCCTAGTCTTAGGGATAGAAACGCCACACCCATCACCACACCTCTCCCCAAACCTCATGACCATGTGTTTCCTTGAGACATATATTTGTTAGAAAGACAAGACCTACGCATTTAACATTTATATTATGACAGTGCAAGAAATGATAAAAATCCCATTCTCCAAGTCTTTCTTCATGTTTCTTTTACTGGTTTTTTTCTAAATTCCAACACATGCATAAAACAGGCAATAAGGTAATATTTATTTTGTTTTTGTTTTTGTTTTTGGTCAGGTATCTCACTCTCTTTCCAAGGCTGGAGTGCAGTAGCACAGTCTCGGCTTACTAAGCCTCAAACTCCTAGGCTCAAACCATCCTCCCACCTCAGCCTCCTGAGTAGCAGGGACTACAGGTGTGTACTACCACACCTGGCTAATTTTTTTGGTTTTTTTTTAGTTGGAGACTCACTCTGTTGCCCAGGCTGGAGTACAGTGACATGCTCATGGCCGCCCCAGCATCAACCTACTAGGCTCAGGCAATCCTTTCACCTCAGCCTTCCAAGTAGCTAGAACTACAGGTGCGCTACCATGCCCAGTTAATTTTTTGGTTTATTGTAGAGATGAGGCCTTGTCAAGTTGCTCAGACTGTTCTCGAACCTGTGGGCTCACGCAGTTCCCTCACCTCAGCCTCCCAAAGTGCTGGGATTACAGGCTTGAGTCACCACGCCTGGCCTATTTGTTTTTTGTTTTTTTTTTTTAATTTTTTGTTGAGACAGGGACTCACTGTGTTGCCTAGGCTGGTCTCAAATCCTGAACTCAAGCAATTCTCCCACCTAAGCCTCCCAAAGTACTGGGGTTACAGGTGTGAGCCACCTCATCCGCCTAATATTTGTTAATGAATGAAGAAATTCTGGGCTAGGTCAGCTCTTAGCTTTTCCCCACTCAAAATGGATAAGTCATGGAAGACAGGAACATAATCATGTGGTTTCCTAGACACAATTTGGGTTTGATATGTTTGAACCTAAGAAGTTTAACAGCCCCTTTTCCTTACCACCCTATTATATATTACCTGCAGAATTCCTATTGAATGAACACTTTTGTGGAAGTCACTAGAGAAAGCTTATTAAATGAGTTCTTATTTTTTATTTCCACCAGCAACCTATGAGGTAAAGAAATATCTAGAGATGTTAAGTAATTTGCCAGAAATATATATTTTAAAATATAACTTCTAAAAGCAATGTATAGAAAACTCAAAAAAAAGCTGTTATTTTAAAAATATAAAGTACCTGGCATTGAGTCCACTGTTATTTCATTTGGATTTTTTGATAACCAACCTAACTGTGGCTATTATCCCTGTTTTATGGTCTTACCTAAGGCTTAGCAAGTCCCTTGCCCACGGTCACAATGCTAATAAGAGCCTGGCTGTGTTATGTGTCTGCTTTGGGGCATTTCATGTTTACATTTCAAGTGGTAACTATCAGTATGATAGCTGAACCCAAGAACTCTGGAAGTACCATTAGATATTTCTTCCCACTGCCTTCCCCCTTTGCACCCCTACTCCCCTTTACTGTGGTTGACTAAACACTCAGTGGGCTTTATCCATGTGTTGGAACTTGGGAATGCCAGGTGAACATAGAGTTTGGCAACTCTCATGGAAGGAGAATGTCTCTTCCCTAACTGCCGCAGCAGAAGTCAAGAATTATATTTCATTGGTCTGGCTTAGGTCATGTGTCCATCCATGAACCAAATACTTTTTCTTTTTGACTCAGGATCTCACTTTGTCACCCTGGCTGGAGTTCAGTGGCACATTCATGGCTCACTACAGTCTCAACCTACTCAGCTCAGGTAATCCTTCTGCCAAAGCCTCCATAATAACAGAGACTACAGGCACGTGCCACAATACCCAGCTAATTTTTTTTAAGATATGAGGTCTCATTATGTTACCCAGGCTGGTCTTGAACTCCTGGGCTCAAGCAATCCCCCCACCTAGGACTCTCAAAGTGCTGGGATTATAGGTATGAACCACCACGCTCGACCAACCAGACACCTTCAGAGAGCATGAGTGATGTTTTGTTTAGCCAGGTTCTAGGTCTCTGGCCAACTGAGGCCCCCATCCAAACCACTAAGACAGAGTGGGGAGCGTTCCCCTGGGAAGAGTTGGGGTGATGTTATCAGAAAAAAAGGAATGGATTCTGGAAAGTAAAAACATATGTTCATTATAGATGCATCCCCTAAGCTTTGATCTCCTTGGTTTAGAGTGGGCACAAACAACTGTCAGGGTAAAAAATCTTTCTTAGATCAGCTTGGTACAGGACTTTGTACCAAGAATCAGGGTACAGTCTTTGGAGGGAGGGTTACAAATTGGGAATATTTAAATTTAAGCTCAGGTCAGCTGACTCCCCATTTGTAACCCACTTTCCATTAGCTTTCAGATATAGTCATACATTACCTAACTATGGGGATGTGTTCTGAGAAGTGCGTCGGGAGGCAATTTTCTCATTGTGCACACATCACAGAGTGTACTTGCACAAACCTAGATGGTATAGCCTACTACATATCTACGCTACACACCTGTACAGCATGTTGCAATATTGAATACTATAGGCATTTGTAACATGATGGTAAGTATTTGCATATCTAAAAATAGAAAAGGTATAGTAAAAATACATTATAATCCTTTTTTTTTAATCACCTGCTCACGGCCACCCCAGCGTTGACCTGCTGGGCTCAGGCAATCCTTCACCTCAGCCTTCTAAACAGTCAGGGCTATAGGCGCGTGCACCCTTCCAAACAGTCAGGACTATAGGCGCATGCTACCACACCTGACTAATTTTTTGATTTATCATAGAGATGAGGTCTCGCAAGTTGCCCAGGTCACTCTCGAATCCATGGGCTCAGGCAGTCCTCTCACCTCAACCTCCCAAAGTGCTGGGATTACAGTCTTGAGCCACCACGCCTGGCAATATTATAGTCTTATGGGACCTCCACCCTGTATACGGTCCAATATTGCAACATTAGTATGTGACATGTTACTATATTCAAATCTTAACAGCTTGCCTGGCATATAAATATTTGAATTGAATGTCAAGTCAGTGACCTCAGATTATTTCTGAAAAGAATAAATAGCTTTTCAATATGTAGTCAAATACCCCTGAAAAGATGGGTAATTACATAATCATGTTAGATCAATGTTTTCAAAAGATTATTCTTGAATATAGTCATTCTTTTAAGTCAGGTAAAATATCTTTCTGTAATGATGTTTTACTAACCTTTTATGGAGGACAAAATGGGAGACATGAAAATGATTTGCAATGATTATTAGTGTCAATCAAGGAAAAAAATTATCTTTAAAGAAGAAATATGCTCAGAAGTCTTTGTTATCCTTTGGAAGATATCTGTAGCATACTTGGAAATAGCTGTCATTTGTAATCTAAGTCCCTAAAGGATTTTAGATTGTGCAACAATTTAGTTGCAGAATTTTTAAAAATATATCACAACATTCTCTAAAATCTTTTAAAATTTATAAGTAAAAATAAGGAAATGAAACTATTTTTCAACTGCTCTCCTGGTTAGAAAACTGCAGTCAGACTGGATTTTAAAAGGAATGTGATCTGTGTCCAAAAAGAAAAAATCAGCCGGGCTCGGAGGCTCAGCCTATAATCCCGCGCCTTTGGGAGGCTGAGGTGAGTGGATTGCCTGAGCCCGCGGGTTCGAGACCCGCCTGGGCGGCGAGACCTCATCTCCACAATAAATCAAAAAATCAGCCAGGTGTGGTAGTGCATGCCTGTAATTCCGGCTACTCGGAAGGCTGAGGAGGAAGGATCGCTGGAGCCCAGCAGGTCGAGGCTGCGGTGGCCGGGAGCGGCCACTGCACTCCAGTCTGGGCGACAGAGTGAGACTCCAACTCAAAAAAATAAAAAATAAATCACTTTAGAGTTTAGTGCTTTATATAGTATGTTAAAATATGTGCACCTTTAAGAACAAATCAGTTTGAAAGAATTCTTCATGAAAAGTTTAACAAAGAAATAGTAAAATCTTCATTTTACGAGTACTACTTAAAATGTCTCAGTAACCATTTACATTTCAACATTGAATCTTTAAAAACTGAAAGTAGCTTCTGTATAAGACAGAAGTCATTGATTTGACTCTTAGGGCATTTTTCTAAGCCATCCTTTTATACCTTTAGTACTTCCCTAATAAGCTAAAGCTGTAAGAAACAACACAAAGAGAAGCTATTTCCTCTCTCCATCCCCAAATGACTTTTTAAGTAAAAGGTTTGGCCTTCCCCCACAGATACTCCCACTCATCAGGATGTCAGTCCTTCACAGCCCCAGCTCAGCACTTTTTAAACTATAAGGTTTTGCACTTAACTGCATAGCTCCACCCCAGGCCTCCGCAGGGAGTTTGACTACATGCTGTTCGATACCGTTTTAAGCCTGGCCTGAAGACATAATATTAGTGGGTGATTGACCGAAAGACATGCAGTATGAACATTGCTCTAGGTACTCTAAAATCTGTCCCCATTGAAAGGCTGTGCAACTGGTGCTTTGCAGAACTGCTTTTACACAACAGTGCTGGGGTAGCACCCCAGCAGCCTTTATTAAAGGCCAGAATAAAAAACAGCCCATGAAACTTCTTCCTGAAAAAGAACAGTTTAGAAGGACACAATGGGGAAATTCTTCTCTGGTTTCTATACTGAAAAAAATTCACTGCTGCTTCGGGACGATGAGATTGTTCTTACAGACAGTGCAGGCTGCACGCTAATCATGTATCCATCCTTCTCTGAAGTGGCTGCTCTCCGATGGAGCTGAATGTCCCATTTACCTCTATGACACACTAAGTTCAGTGAGCCTAAGCTCACTGAACTGGTTTGCTCTTATTCCCCTTTCACCTCGTGCTTCTTACCTGTTGTTCATTTATTTTACCTGTCTGTCTCATCAAGTCCTTTTGGAACAAGGCAGGTATAAATAAATGGATTAGGTTCCACATAAGCAAGACTCATTCTGTACATAAATCTCCTGATTCATGGAAGAACTGTAATCTCCAGGGTTTAAAAATACACTTCATGATGCTGGTGAGGATACAACCAGAGATCAGGCTTCACATAGAGATTAACCACATAGAGATTTTAGATTTAGGATTGTCTTCTTATATAGCATTCTATAAATGTAATGTTTTGAACATACAAGTACATTTAAATGACTGAGAAATCTTTTCACATTATCTTTTTTTTTTTCTTTTTTTTTTTTCTTGAGTTGGTGTCTCACTCTGTCGCCCAGACTGGAGTGCAGTAGCACGCTTCCAGCCACTGCAGCCCCAACCTGCTGGGCTCTGGGATCCTTCCGCCTCAGCCTTCCAAGTAGCTGGAGCTACAGGTACATGCTACCACACCGGCTAATTTTTTATTTATTGTAGAGATGAGGTCTCACCAAGTTGCCCGGGTGGGTCTCGAACCCGTGGGCTCAGGCAATCCACTAGTCTCTGCCTCCCAAAATGCTGGGATTACAGGCAGAGCCACCGAGCCCAGCCCATATTATCTCTTAATAAGAACAGGATTTCTTTACATGTATATAATACATCTACAATAAACTTAAATATCTACTAATATCTATTTAACAAATAGCATTTTTTTGGAATTCTGTTTGCAGTTGGTCTATTTGGTCATTTATAACTTTCTTATTCCTGAATATAATCTGAAATATCTCATAATAAAAATACATATATGCATGTGTATTATCAGATAAAGGTAAAAGATCAGAAGGTAAGGTTAAAGCATTTAACTACTCTCCGACACTAAATTCAGCACTGATTTTTCCGACATCCAAAGCTAAGAGGAAAACAGTAAGTTACAAAGCTTTCACTTTCTGAGAGAAAAAATATTTTTCCTATGTCCGTATAAACACCTAAATGATACCTAATACCTGATTTATATAGTATATATAACATATATATTATTATATATATATTAGGTACTATATAATGCCTAAATTATCTTTATACATACTTAAAATAAAACCACAAAATTTTAAATCTGAAAATTAATCTTTTTTTTTAAGTTGGAGAGGTCTTTTCAGACAATAGCTGAATACATTGTATTTTGTCAGTTTTTTTGTTTTGTTTTGTTTGAGTCAGGGTCTCTATCACGTAGGCTGGAGTGCTATGACACTGATTATGGCTCGCCACAGCCTCTACCTCCTGGGCTCAGGCCATCCTTTCACCTCAGCCTCCCAAGTAACTGAGACTTCAGGTGTGTGTCACCGCACCCAGCTTTTTTTTTTTGGAGTCTCACTCCATTGCCCAGACTGGAGTGCAGGGGCATGCTCCCAGCCACTGCAGCTTCGACCTGCTGGGCTTCAGCAGTCCTTCCGTTCAGCCTTCCAAGTAGCTGGAACTACCACATCCGGCTAATTTTTTATTTATTGTAGAGACGTCTCACCAAGTTGCCCAGGCAGGTCTTGAACCCATGGGCTCAGGCAATCTACTCCTCTTAGCCTCCCAAAACGCTGGGATTACAGGCTAAGCCACCAAGCCCGGCCATTTTTTAATTTTTTTGTAGAGATTAGGTCTCGCTATGTAACCTAGGCTGGTCTCAAAACTCCTGGGCTCAAGCAGTCCTCCTGCCTCAGCTTCCCAAAGTGCTGGGATTACAGGCATAAGCCATCACATCCAGATGTCCTGTTTTTATATATCTTAGAATTAAAAAGTATACCAGACAAAAGCTATTTGACATGTATATGAAGTATATGACATACTGTGCTGACTTACGGTATTTGTATTTTTTACAGTACACTCCTGATCATATAGTTGGACCTGGAGCAGACATTGATCCCACTCAAATAACATTTCCCGGATGCATTTGTGTCAAAACTCCCTGCCTCCCTGACACTTGTTCCTGTCTCCGCCATGGGGAGAACTATGATGATAATTCATGCCTTAGAGATTTAGGATCCGAAGCCAAGTATGCTGAGCCTGTTTTTGAATGCAATGTCCTGTGCCAGTGCAGTGACCTCTGCAGAAACAGAGTGGTCCAGAAAGGTCTGCAGTTTCACCTCCAGGTATTCAAGACGGATAAAAAAGGCTGGGGACTTCGTACCTTGGAACTTATACCAAAAGGAAAGTTTGTCTGTGAATATGCTGGTGAGATTTTAGGATTCTCTGAAGTTCAGAGAAGAATTCACTTACAAACAATATACGACTCCAATTACATTATAGCCATTAAGGAACATGTTTATAGTGGGCAGATAATGGAAACTTTTGTTGACCCTACCTATGTAGGAAATGTTGGAAGATTCCTTAATCATTCTTGTGAGCCAAACCTGTTGATGATTCCTGTCCGAATTGACTCAATGGTACCTAAGTTGGCACTTTTTGCCGCCAAAGACATTTTGCCAGAAGAAGAACTCTCTTATGACTATTCAGGAAGATTTCTTAATCTAACGGGCAGTGAAGACAAAGAAAGACTAGATAATGGGAAACTAAAAAAACCTTGTTACTGTGGTACCAAATTATGTACTGCTTTCTTGCCTTTTGACAGTTCACTGTACTGCCCCATGAAAAATCCAAACATCAATTAGGCCGTTTCCTGGCCTCTCTCAGTGGGTGGGAATGAGGGGGAACTAAGCTTAAGTGGCTCAGCCACTTCTGCCTTCCTCTCTTGCAAGCAGTTTATGCTCGAGGTAAGTCTGCTTCTTGGTAAGCACCCTGTCCCTCCCTATAGTAATTCTGTATCTTTCCCTCTGACTAGTTGCATAAGTTTAATTCAGGAATGTGGTGAACACTGCAGGTTGTCCATCAGTGCTCTTTCTCCCCTTCTGTGATAGTAATCTCAGTTTTGACTAGTTAGATGTTGCTGAGTGACTATGTTCTAGCTAATGGGATATAAGCAAAAATGGTGTTCCCTTTCATGGAGACATCCTGCTCTTCTTTCTTTCTGTTGGCTGGAATATATACATGGGGACTGGGACTGGAGCAGCCATCCTAGACCCCAGGATGACTCTGGGAAAGGAACCCATGCATAGCAAATCAATAAGCTAGAAAGGAGTCTAGATAACTGGTACCATAGAACATTCTGCCAGTCACCTCTAGACTCTTAGGTGAGATAGTATAGTCTTTCCCTTGTTTAACCCACTGCTATTGTAGATTTTCTAACACTGAACCTAATCATAATGATCCAAGAAAATCCCTGTGGCTGCATACTGAAACCCTGCTTCCCAACCAATTTCAACAGTAACAAAGCTGATACTTTGATTTGTTTGTCCACCTGCTGCATCTTTTTTTTTTTTTTTTTTTGTTGGAGTCTCACTCTGTCGCCCAGACTGGAGTGCAGTGGCCGCTCCCGGCCACCGCAGCCTCGACCTGCTGGGCTCCGGTGATCCTTCCGCCTCAGCCTTCCAAGTAGCCGGAATTACAGGCATGCACTACCATGCCCGGCTGATTTTTTGATTTATTGTAGAGATGAGGTCTCGCTGCCCAGGCAGGTCTCGAACCCGCGGGCTCAGGCAATCCACTCACCTCAGCCTCCCAAAGGCGTGGGATTACAGGCTGAGCCACCGAGCCCGGCTCACCTGCTGCATCTTATTTCTCACTTGTTTCTAAGCATGGATCAAGGAAAGGGGCATGGTTAATTATTGTCTGCTAAAATCCTAATAATTACTACCAATAGTGAAAAATATAATCATGAAAATGACTTCCATGTTAGAAACAACATTGTACATTTTTCATTATCTACTTGACTCTACTCCAAAGCTTATGAAGTTATGCTTCAAAACTTCAAACAGCCTCACTTCATCATGCATTAATAACAAAAATAACCCTGTCAGTACAACAGAAGGAGATGGGGATTTTACAGTCTCATTTACACTTCTAGAGCAGCAAACATCTCTAAGTATCTTCCTTAAAAGGGTGTTGCAAATATATAGTTACTGTAGGGGTTTGTTAGACATTTTGAAAGCTAAAATAATTATTTGATTCTCTGTGGTATTATTTAATACATAATTTCTTCTCTAGTACATTTAAACTCTACTACTAGGAGACCCTGCACCTTAAAAGTTGTATCACTGAGATGTATATTATATAACACCATATTCCTGTGTAATATTAATTGTACAAGTCAAATATGTGAAAGTTGTGGTATGTGAATTATATCTCAATAAAGCTGTTTTTTAAAAAAAACATGTTAGGTTTTATTTGTTCATATAACATTGTCTGGAATGGTTCTCTGTATAAGATACTAGGAGCTTGCAAAAAATGCCCAAACATTTAGAGTCTATCATAGATCATAAGTGATGTATCACAGAAACAAAGAATAGAGTACCATATGTTCTCACTCATAAGCAGACCTCGAACAATTATCATAATACTAGAAGAAAGGGATTGGCAGTAGTGGGAAACTGCCAGGGGAGGGGGGGTGGGATTCACAGTTGAGGGAAACTGCCAGGGTAGGGAGGGACACACCTCCCTCAAGGGTACCTGCATAATGAACATTTACATAGCTAACCCTGAATTGTGCCCTCACATCTTCAAAATAAAGAAAAAACTCCAAACTACAAATGTGTGATTTCAAAAATTTCCCTCTAAACTAGTCATTCCACTCCCAACCTTCCTCTGTTATTTTAATGTCTCTGAGGCAGTCTTGCCATTTGTAAGGCAGCTGGTATCCCTCACTCCAAAGTGACCTTTCTTCTCCTTACAAGCTCTCCTAATAGCTGAGTTACTTCAGAAGCAGTAAAATATGGTCAGCTGGAAAATTAGTGGCTCATTACCTGATTCTACAGATACTTCTTCCTATTTCCTTTCTCCTTTATTGAATATCAGAGATATTGCCAGAGGACAATCTTTCATTCAGAGACATTGGAATGAGTAGCACCCTCCATCTTGGTGCCCCTGCCAGAGAGAACTGACTAAATATGAAGCCTTGGAATTTTTGTCCTTAGCCACTAGTTTATTCTTAAATAGCACATAGTCCTGGAAATCAGATTCCTAGAGTAAGAATCAGAGTCAGTATTCCATGTCTTTTCTAAGCACCAGATTAACTACATTAACTGCCTCATTGCCATAGTCTTTTTTTTTTTCTTCCGAGTTGAAGTCTCATTCCGTTGCCCAGGCTAGAGTGTAGTAGCATGCACGCTCATGACCAACCCGGGGTCGACCTTCTGGGCTCTGGTGATCCTTCCGCCTCAGCCTTCCAAGTAGCCGGAACTACAGGCGCGTGGTACCACACTCGGCTAATTTTTGATTTATTGCAGAGATGGGGTCTCGCCAATTTGTCTGAACTGATCTCGACCCGCAGACCCAGGCAATCCACTCACTTAGGCCTCCCAAAGTGCGAGATTACAGGCTGAGCCATCGAGTCCAGCCTCATTGCCATATTCTTAAGAATGTTGACACGTCTATTTTTTAAAAATATACTTCTGCTTGACTATTATCCTATGGTAAAATAATATAAAAGTTTTATTACAAATTACAAGATTTGAATTTTTTAAAGTGGCATGTATCTAGCTCATGGAATTGAAACAAATAAAAATTGGCTTTAAAGTAAATTCCACAGACTTCATTAAGAATGTGGATATAGGCTAGGCGTGATGTCTTACACCAAAGTAAACCCAACACTTTGAGAAGCCAAGTCGGGTTCACTTGAAGCCAGGAGTTTGAGAGCAGTTTGGGCTACATAACAAGACCCTGCCTCTAAAATTTAAAAAATAAAAGTGGAGATCTGTACCTTGGAAAGTATTTTGGCCCAAGAAGATCATACTTAAAGAACAAAAGTTCTCTGAAAAAATGATTTTAAAATTTCAAATTACTATTCACAAATATCAGTGGCTGGTAGATTTTGTTCTTGCTACATGGAAAATTTGTCTTAATTAAAATGAATTTTCTGTGATTGTTTATCCCTCCCACTTGTTCTCATTAATGAAGCCCAGTACTTGTTTACTCTAAATCATAAAGCAGGAATGGGTTCAAGAAATGAATAAAAGACCAACCTGCATAGTACAGAGGACTTTTATCTTAAAGTCAGGGCAATCTCATTAAAGGAAAGAAAGAAAAAAAAATGTTTTCCTAAAATTGTTTTCATTCCCTTGAGTGTTCAAATAGTGAGCTTTCCCTGTGTAACATACATATTCCTAACTACAGCACAGCCACTCCAGTGAGTTACCATTGAGCAAGCTACTGCATTATATGATTCTCAATTTCCTTTGCTGGAAAGAGTAAATGAGTTAAAATATGTAAAGGGGTTAGAACACAGTACATATCCAAAAAGTGTAACTTATTATTAGTCTCCAGAACTACCTCTTAGATGTGGCCTAAAGTTCTCCCTTCTCATTTCTATTCAGGTGTAATCTGGATATGATGTCCTTCATGGGCAGACTTGAAGGGAGATAAAAGGTCACAAAGAGGCAACCTGAAGGGTTAAAGCTGAGTAAGTGAGGTTCCTGCCCTGAGCCATGCATTTCAGAACGCCTAGGTTTACACACACACAAATACACAAAGAAGACACGGATACCAAAAACCAGACAAAGACATTACAAAAAAAGATGAATACCAGTAACTCTTTTGAATATAGATGCATAAAACCCTCCATAAAATAGCAACCAAATTCAACATATAAAAAGAATTAGATACCTTGATCAGGTGGAATTTATCCCAGGAAAGCAAAGTTTACAAAAATCATATTAATAGAGAAAAATTAGTTGACAAAATTCAATACCCTTTCATGATAAACACACTGAATAAACCAGGAGTAGACAGGAACTTCCTCAACCTGAGAAAGGATGTCTATGAAAACCCACAGCTGACGTCATATTTAACGGTAAAAGAAGGTATCCAAGTTCACCACTCCTATCCAACATTGTACTAGAGGTTCTAGCCAGGACAATTAGGCAATTAAGAATTTAAAACAACAATAAGAAAACAAATGACCAATTTAAATATGGGCAAAAGATCTGAACAGTTACTTCAGCAAAAATAAATGGATGGCAAATAAGCATATGAAGAGATGCTCAACATTATTTGTCATCAAGGAACTGCAAAAATCCAAAACACTGAAAACACCAAAAACTGACAGGAATGTGGAGGAACAGGAATTCTCATTCATTGCTCATGGAAATGTGAAATGGTACAACCCCTTTGGAAGACAGATTGGCAGTTTTTAAAAGATCTAATGCTAAGAATCTTGGGCAACCCCTTCAGGTCTCCTCCCACTGTGGGAGCTTTTCTGTCCTCTCAATAAATCCTGCTTTCAAAAAAAAAGACTAAGAGTCTTAATGTTGATGCAGCAGTCATGCTTCTAGAAAATTACCCAACAGATTTGAAAACTTTTGTACACATAAAACCAGCACACAAATGTTTATAGCAGCTTTATAATTAACGTGAAGCAGTTCACATTCCTTCAATAAGTTAATGAATAAACTGGCACATCCATATGATGTAATATTACTCAGCATCATAAAGAAACTATCAAACCATGAAACGTCAAGGAGGAAACTGTTAAGTGAAAGAAGCCAGTCTGAAAAGGCTGTATACTGTATGATTCCAAGAATTTGACACTCTGGAGAGGGCAAAACTATAAAGATAGTAAAAATACCAGTGGTTTTCAGGGTTTGAGGGGAAGAAAGGGATGAATAGGTGAGGCATGGGATTTTCTGGGCAATGAAACAATTCTATGATATTGTAATGGTAGGTACATGATATTAAACATTTGCCAAAACCCATAGAACTTTACAAAGTCAAAATTTTTGTAAACAAAATTTTCAAAAATAATTTAGGATATCAGGAAATCACGGAAAGGAATACAGACTGACAAGCGAGCCTAACTGTATTACAGATGTATGAAACAAACTCAAGGAAGTAGGGGAGAAGGATGCTGACCTAAGAAACTTTAGAAATGAGTGAAGTCTGTAAGACTAAAGGCAAAAAGAACTGCTTATGAAACCCTGTCTTCCAGTTGATACAAGTTGTTTCCCATGGGGGTTGTAGGGAGTTGAAACTTTCCCTGTGGAGATTCATTAATTGAGTCTGACAAACAGATTAACATAAGAAAACTCATTTTAATTATGTACATGCACAGGGGAGCTTCACAGAAAAATATGAGACTCAAAGGAGGAACCAGATGGTTAAAGTGTTTAGAACATAAAAGAATAGGGGCTTGAGGACTTGAGGGGAGATGGCAACAAGTTATGAGAGGGAAAGGGGAGGAACCTCATGGTGAACAAAAGTGGTCTT